CAAGGGATTGGAAAACTGCAAATGTGATAAACCTCTGCCCCTTTTAAAAGGGACAGAGTCATAAAGTAGGTAACTATAAGTCGATTAGCCTAACACTATTGTTAGAAAAGAACTGGAATCAATTATTAAGGAAAAATAGCAGAACATTGGAAAATCATAACCTAATCAAGCAGAGTCAGCATGGCTTCATGAAAGGGAAATCGTGTCTGACTAATTTATGAGAGCTTTTAAAAGATGTATCAACCAGATTGCATAGAGAGGAACCAGTAGATATGTGGTATTTGGACTCCAGAAGGCTTTCGACAAAGTACTTCACAAAAGGTTACAAGATAAGTTAAGAGCCCATGGTGTTGGTGGTAGTGTATTGGCATGGAGAGAGAATTGGCTTATGGGCAGGATACAGCGAATGGAGGTAAGGTTTTTCTTTTCCAGGTTGGCAACCCTGACCAGTGGGTTTCCACAGGGATAAATGCTGGGACCAAAACTATTTACAATATAAAGTAATGCCATGGAGAAAGGAAGTGAATATATTGTAGTCAAATTTATAGAACATTAAAATGGGTGGCAAGGTAAGTTATGAGAGTGATACAACAGTTTACAGAGAGATACAGATAGATAAAGTGCGTGGGCATAAAGTTGGCAAATGGAATACAATGGGGGCAAATGTGGAGTTGTTCATTTTGGAAGGGAGAATAAAAGAACAACGTATTATTAAAATGGAGACAAAACTGCAGAAAGCATCACAGGGACTTGGAGGTACTTGTGCAAAAAACACAGAAATCTAGCACACAGGTATAGCAGATAATCAGGAAGACTAATAGAATGTTGGCCCTTAGTTCAAGGGTTTTGGAGTATAAAAGGAGGGAAGCCTTACTGCTACTACACATATAGAACATACTTTCCCATCTTGAACCTACAAAAATTTAATTCATTGGCTATTAGTTTTATTGTGAGTTAAAATTTAAGTTGGGAGAATTCCTAAATCCAATACCACTACATCACTGAATAATGAAATTTGTAATAATAATAATTTTAGATTTTTATTGTTAATAACTCAAACAATGTACTATAAATGAGGACCAATGACATAAAATAAAGTTAATTTTTAACATTAGTCTGCAGATGTAATACAAACTGAGGAAATGCAAGCAGAGAATAAAATTCCTTTTTAAGTATTTTTGACTTCCTGGTATTTTTGGCTCTAACTATTGTTATTTTAAGAAACAAAGTAGAGACCCTGTTCTTGTATCCTATCCTAATAGGTTAATGGAACATATGAATCTGCCCATGTAGTGAATATAAGCAATGGTTTATAACTTAAATATTGCTCATACAGTACAATTCATTCAAACGATCCTTGTGGAAAGCATGGGCATCAGTCCCTGATAAAATTGCCATGCTTCTGTTCAAATGAAACATCCTGGTTGACAGGCGGCTTGGATTCTGCATTCTGTGTGTGAGTTTAGTAACTCACCTGAAGCCCAACCACATCCTAGAACTTACTAGCAACAACTAGTTTTGTGAATGGACACTCCAGTGTGAAAGTTTTGCTAATGTGATTACTATTCAATCAGCCAGTCAGTAATGATTGTACAAGGCTATTGCTACTGATTCAACCTAATTTTGAAAATATAATAGCAAATATTCAACTTAATAATCATGTTTTCCACCAAATACTTGGGAGTCTTAGTTGCCACTTTGTTATATATGCCTTTTTGTTTGCTGAGAAAGACAAGGAGAGGAAATGAGTAGTGGATGTTGGTGGTGGTAGGAGGGAAACGTTGAAGACCTTGGTGGTACACTCTAACCCAGGAGACCTGACATGGAGATACTAATCATGGCCTGCCATCAAGCAATTCTGGTCTCCCTGCTAAAGGAAGGATGTTGTGAAACTTGAAAGGGTTCAGAAAAGATTTACAAGGATGTTCCCTGGGCTGGAGAGTTTGTGCTATGGGGAGAGGCTGAATAGACTGGGGCTATTTTCCCTGGAGTGCAGAGACTGAGGTGTGACCTTATAGAGTTTTATAAAATCATGAGGGGCAGAGATAGGGAAAACAGACAAGGTCTTTTCCCCACGGTGGGAGAGTCCGAAATTAGAGGGCATAGATTTAAGGTGAGAGGGGAAAGATATAAAAGGGACCTAACAGGCAACTTTTTAATGCAGGTGGTGGTGTGTGTATGGAATGAGCTGCCAGAGGAAGTGGTGGAGGCTGGTATAATTTACCACATTTAAAAGGCATCTGAATGAGCATATGAATAGGAAAGGTTTAGAAGGATACAGGCCAAATGCTGGCAAACGGGACTAGATTTATTTAGGATATCTAGTCGGCATGGACGAGTTGGGCTGAAGGGTCTGTTTCTTTGCTTATGTCGCTATGACTCTATGATTCGATAACGCACATGTTGAAAGCTGGTAGGCCAGATGTTTGCTGAGGGCATCTTTTGCAGTGGTTGAATCCTGCCTTGTGGAACACCACAGTAGTGTCAGCATAGTGAGTCTCACATTTAAGATGGAGATGAGAAGAAATTTTGTCTCTCGAAGATCATGCATCTTTCGAATTCTCTTTCCCAGTTGGCAGTGAATATATTCAAGGCTGAGTTAGATAGATTTATGATTGACAAGGGAGTCCAGGGTGATGCAGCAGCAGGCATGGAAGTGGAGTTGATGCTACGATCAGATTAGTCATGAATTTACTTTGATGTGTGATTTGTATATATATTAATTTCATTTATTTAGAATTTGGATTTTGAATTAGTAGCATGTAGGTTTTTGTCTGTGTGTAAGAAGGGTGTTAATGTTTAAGTTGTCAGTCTTTTTGGAGCAATTTTTGTTTAAACCAGATAGACACAAGTGAGTTTCTAGTGTGATAAAGGCAATTTGCTTACGTTATGAGAGTTTTCTGATCAGGGAACATGAACATTGAAAAGCATTAATTTGCATTTGATTTGGACAAATTGGGTGTTTTATTTTGCTTGGAGGAAAAACCCATTCATTGATTTTATTGCTTGCTTTCAGTTTGAGGATGTCCTGGTTGAAATTACATATAAGATCAGTTTCTCTGGGACAAAGGAGTACAGAACACTTAGGAGATAGGTTAGATGATATTAGAAGCTACTATTAGAGATTACAGGAGGTCAGGCAGAGTAAATATAGTTTTGTTCGAGCAAAATCATGTTTAACCACTTTAGTACAGTTCTTTGAAGAAGTAATGAGTGCAATGGATAAAAGGGAACTCATGATGTATTATACTTAGATTTCCCAAAGGCATTTGATAAGGTGCCACTTCAAAGGTCATTGTAGAAAATTAAAGTTCATGATGTATGAGATAACATGTTGGCACTTACAGAAGTTTGGCTAGCCAATTGGAAACAGAGTAGGCATAATTAGTAATGATTGGTATGCATTAGAGATCATGCTGGGGCCTCAACCTTTTACAATTTTCACACATGACTTAGGTGAAGGGACAGAATATATAGTATCTGAATTTGCTGATGACACTGTTTTGATCCAAATGGTGATAATACTACACAAGTCAGTTTCAAATTAAGACCTAACTTGATAAACCCTAACTTTTATTTTTTTTGGTTTAACATGGAGGTCAGTCATCGAATATAATGACAATAACCTGTCAGGAAAAAAAACAAAAAGAACATGAACAACTTGTACACAAAAATGAACAAGAACTATATTACACTACAAAAGAACTATTTGAATCCAGCTCATTATGAATAACAAAAAGAAAGATTCAACTCTTATACCCCAACAGCAACCTTGCAGACATATGAGCCTCAGTGAAGAGTCATTCGTTTCAATGCTCCTTATTTAGTTGGCACAGCTGTAATTGGATTATTTTTGGCAAACCTTTGCATTCACCTGATGTGATTTGTTTGTGACTGAATCTGTTAAACAAACTGCTCATTTGTTTCAAAAACAGAAGTTGCTAGAAAAGCTCAACTGAGCTCTGAGGAAGGGTCACTGGACCCAAAACGATAACTTTGATTTCTCTTCACAATTGCTGCCAAACCTGTTGAGCTTTACCAGCAACTTCTGTTTTGTTTCTGATTTACAGGTAGTTCTCCTATAACGTAATACTAGCATTCTTGTGTGATCTCACGCTATAGAAAATCGCGTTATAGGGAATCACTACAGAAAGTCTCTGTACCTGTACAGCAGAAAGTTCACGTTATCCAAACAGCGTCCACTATTCATTAATTGCATTATAGCCAACTTGTGTTAACCAAACACGCATTATAGCAGAACAATCTGTACAGCATCTGCAGTTCTTCCCGTTTTTATTTGCTCATTTGTTTCATTTATTATTTAATATGGGTCCCTTTACCTCATAACTTCAGCAGTCTTGTAGAATGGCCTCCTCTGTAAAGTCTCCACAGTCTTCTGCCTCTGGCCTTCTTCAAATAAAAGCAGAATATTTTGCCAGACCTAGCTGTTTGCAATGCTAGTGATACTGCTTCTGCCATTAAGTGGTATTTAACCATCATGCCTTAACATTCAATGGCATTACGATCACTAAATCCACCACCATCAACATCTTGGGTGTTACCATTGACCGGAAAATGAACAGGACTGGCCATATAAAAACTGGCTACAAGAACAAGTCAGAGGCTAGGAACCTTGCAACAAGTAACTCACGTCCTCACTCACCAGTGCCTGTCCACCATCCAAAAGGCCCAAGTCAGGACTCACTGCTTGCCTGGATAAGTGCAGCTCCAACAACATTTAAAAAGCTTGACACTAGCCAGGACAAAGCAGCCCACTTGATTGGCCTCACATCCGCAAACATTCAGTCCACCCAGTATGACACTCAGCTGCAGTGTGCACCGTCTACAAGATACCATTCAGAAAATCACCAAGGATCTTTGGATGCACATTCTAAACCCATAACAAGTTGGATTGAAGGGTCTGAAGAGTCCAGTTCGTCGATGCCAACCAGGTATCCCAAACTAAACTTAGTCTCATTTGCCTATGACTTTAGATAAATCAACAGCAAGCCATGTGAGGAGATACTTGCTCAAATGTTTGCTGACTTGAGCCTTACAACCCGCAGATGGAAAAAGAGAGAGAGAAAGAGAGAGAGAAGAGGACTTAGAAGCAGGTTTGTATGACTCTATGAATGCTTATTTTTTTCATACTCAGTGTTCAAAATAATCTTCTGTCCTGTAAAAACTGGCAACTAAAATCAATTTTTTTTCCACTTTAGAACCCAATTTCACAACTAATAATCATAACATATTACGAACATCCATCATATTGCAGTAGGTAAGTAAATAACTGAACAAGGCTACAAAGAAAATTACAGAAAAGTAAAAAGTCCACTTGCCAACCAATCAGCACCCTTCTCTGGTATAGTATAACTGTTGGTTGTTTCCTTAAATTAATATTCTTGTAAATTGACCTTATAAGTGCAAAATAAAAGATTTTGAGAAAATGTCTCTTTTTCAGCAATACTCAAGTTTTGTACAATCAAATGACTAATAGAATTATATAAAATTATTGTGAGGAGAATTGGATATTAAAGTAGGGACGTTATGAATCAATTGGTGAGGCCACACCAGGAGTAAAATGGGCAGTATTAGTCTCCCTATTTAAGGAAAGGTGTATATGCATTGAGAGCAGTTCAGTGAAGTTTACTAGACTAATACCTAGAATAGGCAGGTTTTATGAGGAAAGTAGATAGGCTAGATTTATAACTGCTGGGATTTAGAAGAATAAGAGATGACTTGATTGAAACATATAAGACTCTGAGGTGTCTTGAGAGATAGCATGTAGAAAGGATGTTTCCTTTAGTGTGGAAAATTTAGAACTAGGGGTCACTTTTTCAAAATGAGGAGTCGACCATTTAAGTTGGAGATGAGGATTTTTTTTTCTCAGAGAGATTCAAAGGCCCTTGGAATTCTCTTCCTAATAAGGCAGTGGAAGCAGGGTCTTTAAAAAGTTTTAAGTAAAGGTAGATAGATTCTTGATAAGCCAGGAATGGAAGGTAGGCTGCAATGAGCAATAATCAGATCAGCCATAATTTTTTGGAATGGCAATGCAGGCTCGATGGATCTGTATGGTCAACTCCTGCTCCTAATTCATATGTCTGAATGGACATGGACCATTTTTCTTACTTTGGCAGCGTCCTCTAAATGAAAGCAGACATAGATGACAAAATTCGTCAAAGTCCCAAGGGTCTGTCTGACAAAAAGAAGTCATTAGGATTTCTAAGAAAAGGAAATACTGAAATCTTTCCATTAGTGGAATTGAGTTAGTAGCGAACAATGACTTGGTCAGGCTATTCTTTAAGTTATCAACTTTTCTTTAAAATCAAGAAATGAGTAATGACACAAGACTATAAAATGTAGGAGCAGAAATAGGCCATTCAGCTCAGAAAGCCTGCTCAGTCATTCGATGAGATCACGAATGATCTGATAATTCTCAACTTTACTTTCCTACCTTTCCTCTATTGCTTTTGATTCCCTTGCTTATCAAAAATCTGTCCATCTCAACATTTAATATGCATAATGATTCATCTTCTGCAGCCTTCCATGACAAAGAATTCCATAGATTCACTACCCTTTCAAAGAAGAAATTTGGCCTTATACCTCTCTTAAATGTGCTACTCCTAATTCTGAAATTATGCGCTTTAGTCTTAGATTCCCCCACAGGGTGAAACAACCTTTTAGTATCTATTGTATCAAGCCCTCTAAGAATCTTATACATTTGAATACGGTCTCCTCTCATTTTTCTAAACTCCAATAAGTACAACCAAACCTATTCAACCTCTCCTCATAAGAAAATCCCTCCATACCCAGGATCAACCTAGCAAACCTTCTCTGTATAGCCTTCAATGCTAGTATATCTTTCCTTTAGATAAGTTGACCAAAAAAGTACACATTATTCCAGCTGTGGTCTGACTAGTGCCTTGTATACTTTTAGCAAGAACTCACTATTTTTTATATTCCATCCCTTTGAGACAAAGGCCAATATTCCATTTGTCTTCCCTATAGTCCACTGAGCTTTTTGTCATTTATGCATTAGGACACCCAGATCCATTTATGTTGCAGTTTCCTGCAGACTTTCTTCATTTTAATACTATTCAGCTCTTCAATTCTTCCTGCCAAAGTGCATAATCTCACGTTCAATCAAATGACATGTTTAATCCATTGGGAATGTAGAGGAAACTTTTTATTCCCAAAAAGAGATGCAAGTGTGAAACATGTTCCCACAGGGAATGGTTGAAATCAATGGTATAGACAAAGTCAAGTTGCAAGCATTTAAGGATGAATAAGGGAGAAGAGAGATGATTACAATGGTAGATTTAAAAGGGGCAAAATAGGAGGAGATTTAAGTAGACCATAAAGGCTGGCATGGATTAGCGGAGCTGTGGGGCCTATATTTGTACCATAATACTCTGTTATTCTATGTAGTATGGTCTAGATGCTTCCATTAATGAAAATTAACTTATTTGTAGACCACAAATCAAAATGCATTCTGCAATGAGAAGGCAACACAGGAGCACAGCAGAAAACAGATGGTCAGGTCATGTTAGCAGTGACTGAAGTATTAATGTAAATCAATTGTAAAACTCGTGGATTTATTACTAATTAACCTGTTCAACATGGACTGATTGCATCAAGGTTAAAAAAAAGAGTTAGTTTGAACTGAACAGAATGTAATTCCTGTAATGAAATACTATTGAATAAAGATCATTGACTGATGTTCTCACACTGAGCTCATGTTTACTCCTGAAGCCCTAAAAAATCTATTTTAATCAATAATGTTTTTACAACACATCCTGTCATATCAATATTTTTGTTTTGGCTTAGTTGCTTCTTATCAACTGATAACTTTCACCAACAAGGTTATTCAATCTGGTATCTGTTCCATTGTCACGCATGAACGCACATGCAAATGTCAACATTAACAAAATGATATCTGTTCTTTGTGTACTTTGTGCTCTAAATGGAATCAGGAACAGAATTCAAACTGAAACATTTCCTTCTCCATTTCTTTTTAGTGTGGTTCTTACCAGTGAAGGACTCCTCACTGTCTGGCCACAGACCATTGGTCACTTCAATTATGGCTGTCCAGACCAGCTCCTTCCAAGATTTGAGTTCAGGGCACAGCACCATTCTTTATCCTCCTGCAGTGTTTTACCTCTGTTCTGTTTCCAATAAACTTATCTTGTATCTTCTAAGCCACTCATGCACATCCTTGTCTAAATTATTAATTAACATCTGTACATCTACAAGCTCATTACTGCTATCTGATTCCAACATGAAAAATTAAAGTAATTTCCCCAGAGGAAATGTGCCTGTTTAGTTACTTGAACTTTCTGCTGACAATAAGCTATATTTGTCTTAGGGTGATTTTTTTTATTAATCATGATAGGGTTGTTTTAACAATAATGAACAAAATATAGAATTTAATTTACGTTGAAGATAAACTAAACTAGCATTCCTTGTGACCCAAAAAGAATTGAACTGTCTGACATCTTCTAATAATTTCTCAAATAGAATTCCAATCCTGAGGTCATTTCCATTATTTTAAACATTTGGTGAAATGATTGCAGTGAAATTAAATTGTTTTCTGAGTAATTGTTAAATGTGCCTTCCATGTATAGGACACATTATACTGATGTGAAGTGAGTTTAGCTTCACATTGATTCGTATCATGTAAATGCCACTTGGGGGTGGTGAAGGCTGTGAAATTTATTTTGAATAGTTTAATTGCTTTTCCCTTTTACAGTCACTGCAGTGTAATTGCAGCCAATGTGAAGAGAGCTTTTAAAGTACACAGTTGGCTCCTTGACTGGAAAGAAACATGAAATCAGTCATATAGTTTGTGTCTCCCAATCCTTTGTTACTGTCAGAAAATACCCAGTCTTAAACTAAATCTGATGGTAACAGCCAAAGGCAGTCTCTGGAAATTTTCCAATTCCAGTTATCCAAGCCAAGATTACTCAATACAATAACTATTTTACCAGTACAGACATTCATGGGAATCAGGAAATCATGCCCACAACCTGAGGTGACTTGACTTGCTTTATTTGCTCCTGAGGTAGGAATTCTTTGTTCTCCATAGAGCCAACAAGAAATATATGGCTAATAAAAATGTTTTAATTATGTCAAGTGAACTAGTTCATTACTTTGACAGTATAAATTAAGCCTTTGATTCCAGCTGTGTATGACTATATGATGATAGAATATTTCACAAAGTCTGTGAATTAATTTGAATGTAACAATTGTCGTTAAGAATAGTAACACGTTAAAATTACACACAGATGCAGAAAGTCATCAGGTGGTGACACAAAACAGATAGCATCAGATCAGCTGCCCACAATACATTGTACTTGATTTTCAATTCCATTGCTGTTAATGGAATTAAGTTTCATGTGCTTTGGATAGTGGGCTAACATTGTTCATTTTGCTCCACCACCAGTGACAAATTTCTATCTGCGAGCATGCCATTTCCTTGCAAAGTGCATTGAAATAAAATCAGTTATCAATGATATTCATTGCATAGGCTCCAAATTTCCTGATGGATTCCAATGATTACTTCTGTAATGACTGAAATCCAACAGATTCCATCAGAAAGTAGCAGGAATCTAGCTGCAATGGCTCCTTGTCAATTTCAGGATTTTCTGATCAATCTTTCAAAAGAGGTGGCACAGCAGCTCAGTGGTTAGCATTGCTGCCTGACAGCATCAAGGACCTGGGTCCCATTCCAGCCTTGGGTGACTGTGTGAAGTTTACATATTCTCCCTGTGTCTGTGTGGTTTTCCACTAGGTGCACCAGTTTCCTCCCATGGTTCAAAAATGTGCAGGTTAGGAGGATTGTGGAGTTATGGGGATAGAGTGGGGACTGGGTCCAGGTGGGATGACCTTTGGAGGGTAGGAGCAGACTCAGTTGGCTGAATGGCCTCTATCTGCACTGTGGAGATTTTATGTACAGCCTCCTCTTGCCTGTAAACGACCAATGGTGTCAGAAGGAGGGGCAAAATCCTATGCTAAGTGTATACACTTCCCTAGCTCAATTGTGATTCAGTGTAGGAATGGAAGATAATACAACAAATGCAATAGTTTGGACTGGCTTCCAGGTGGGTGCAAATTAGCCCCACCGAGTGGAAGACATGTGAACAATAAAAGTTTGTAATCATAAGGGCATTAACCAGATGACATGGTGCTGGTTACTTATGGCTGCAGGTAACTGTATTCTGATCAAGTCTCCAGTGGATAGCACTAATCACTTCTGCACTTTATAAGCTGAACAGTCCACTCTGCAGCTCTATCATGTCACTGCTGAATCAAAATAACAGTGCTGATAAAGCATTAGTTATATCAACTGGATACTCCTCTTTGACTATTTCCAAAGGAACCTCAAGCATAAATATAAAGCCTACAGTTAACTTGATACACAATCCTTATTTTCAAGGTTATCTGCGAATGTAAAGTTTCATCTCTGTATCTGTCCCTCTGCTATATCAATGGCTCTATAATTAGTGTTACTTCTCAAATGGGTATAAGTACAATGGGTGCTAATCGTGGTGATAATATGCTTTCAGTGCCTTTCAGGAAGTTTACATTCCTCAAATCTGCTTTTCTCAACTATGGAAGGTGTCGGAGAAACAATAAAACAAATTCACGTATGCTCAGTTTCTTAATTACATCACATAAATGACAATAGTGTAATGCTTTGTATCAACATTTTTTTGACATATATCTAGGACATAGTAATTCAACTGCTCATATTCTCCAATTGTTATTTGTTAATCTTTCCAATGGAAATAACATGGTTATATCATAAGATTAATGATAAAATTAAAAATAGTTAAGTTTTCTTCAAACCATCGAACTACCTAAGATTTCTTAAGTCAGAATTAAATCTCCATATAATCATCCACTATATTTATCAAGATGCTAAATACATCCCAACTCAGAGATAGCTATCATTCTCCAATATTTTCAATACGTTATTCACTAAATGCAAAACTGATTCCACAAAATATTCCAGAAATTGAATTACAAGGCATTAAGTCTACCCAATATCAAATTACATTTATGTTTTGTTTATGGTTTATGTTAATAGTTAAAATGCTACTTGGAATCTTTGGTGAATTTGTATTTTCTGCTGAACAAAACAACTGGTATTGTTTGCTTTCGTTATGAGGAAATTTGTATAATTTGTGCTTGACAAGCAATAAAAGAAATGATGATAGCCAGCTGGCCTGTAGTACTGGATGAATTACAATCGAAGTAGTGCTTAATTAGTGATAGATCCAAATGAAAATATTCAATGGTAATTTGAGCTACTAAAAATACACACCGCAGTTTGAAGAATTTGATTAAATCATGAGAAAATACAATGCTGAGGCATAGTTTGGATTCTGTATGAAGTGATGTTGAATTGTAAAAGAAAAATATTTAGGAAATGTCCTGTTTCATTTTAATGTTGCCCTTTGGTCATTACCAACTTTTGTCACCAATATTTGTGCACCTAATGGTACATTTATAAAGAGCCAGCATGCAATTATTGATAAAGGATGATATATTTGAAAAACATGCAAAATTGTCTACCAAATAACTTGTGCGTGAAAGCTCTAGAATGCAGCATGAGCAATCTATAAAGTCAGTCAATGAATGAAGTTGACACACCATCAGAAAATATTGAAATCTAATTATCTGCTAGCATTTTGTTTCCTTTAATCTGAGGTGAGAAATTCAATATGAAAAATTAGGTTAGTGACTTAATAAAGGACTAAAATTGACTTTTTTTTAAAATCATAAGCTTAAGTATATTGCAGCATCTGTGTACCAAATTTAGAACATTTTAAACTATATTTCTCATCAAAGGCCTAGGGTTCTCCAATGATCTAACATCTTTAATTAATTTGATATCCCAAAACAATCATTCCCAGTTGAAGAAACTTAACACTTTAACAATTTATTGTATTAGGTAATAGTTCTGAAAGGTTAGCATTCATGTTACACTGGCATTCTACTGACGTCACACACAGTCTATGGTTGGAGACAAGGAGTTCTACATTAGCTTTTGGAGGAAGCAGATGTACCTGTAGCAATGCCCTGAGGTCCTACTAATTATGCTTGACCAAATATATCTGAACATATTGTTATCGTGCAATAAGTCTTGCTCTTATGCAAGAATAGAGCCTCTCATGTCGAATTTTTATTTCAAAAATATATTTAATTCATAAAAAATTCTTAATATACGGTTTAGTGCTGTACAGTCTTAGCGTATCGGGAACAAATAAACATTAGAGTTTGACTTTCCCAACAGTTCCAAAAAACCCAAGGCGTTTCTCACTTATTCAAAATACTTATACTTGGGGCACTGGAAGGGTCCAATAACCAAACAGAGCCCTATTGTACTTTGGCCGAACAACCTTAGATGGTGGTCTTTCCCCACTGCAGCTTGATGGCAGCTGCCCAAAGTCTTAGTGCATCCCTCAACACGTAATGCTGGACCTTAGCACGGGCCAATCTGCAAAACTCAGTCAAGGTCAACTCCTTGCTCTGGAAAACAAACATGTTTTGTGCAGGCCAAAGAGCGTCATTTACTGAACTGATGGTTCTCCAAGTGCAGATGATGTTTGCCTCGTTGTGCCTCCAGGGCAGTAGGCCACAGAGTACAAAGTCCTGTGTCACATAGCTGTTAGGGACGAACCTTGACAAAAACCACTGCAGCTTTCTCCAGACTTCCTTTGTAAAGGCACATTCAAGAAGAAAATGTGTGACAGTCTCTACCCTCTGCAGCCGCTTCAAGGACAGTGTGTAATGGCACAGAGAGTCTGGGCATACAGGAAGGTCCTCCCTTCTCATCAGATGCCTTGGTGCTTCTTAGAAAGTTCTAGTGATGAGAAATTCTGCCAAATGACTTTGACAGGTCTGCTCAGGGAACCATCCAACAGGGTCCACCCTCTCCTTTTCACGTAGGGTCTCGAAGACATTACGTGCTGACCACTTCCTGATGGACGTGTGGTCAAGGTGTTTCTGTTTTGCAAATTTCTCCACAAAAGACAGGTGGTATGGAACAGTCCAACTACTTGGACATTCTATGGTGCCAAGGCCAGTCCCATCCTTCACAACACCAGGGACAGGTAGAACTTCAGTACATAGTAACACTTGGTCTCGGTGTACTGAGAGTCTATGCACTGCTTGATGCAGCTGCACAC